AAAGAGTTGGATGAGTCTAATGGTGATTACGAAGGTGGAGAAGCTTGGAAAACTCTAATTAGAGAAGTATTTCAAGATAATTTTGTGCAGTTTTGGTAAATACATCTATTATTTGCATTTTTGGATTATTTAGACAAAAATTTATACTGAAGACAATTTCTTTCATTCGCTATGATAGAAAATAACTTTTCAAAAGAAACATTCAACATTCATTGCCAGTTCTATCATCGATTGAAATATATAAAATCCTTCCCTTAAAACAATTTATTTGGAAAATACGTTTTTATATACACTAACTTATAGCACTTTCCAGTACTAACTGCTGCTTTCTTTCTGTTTAGTTAGAAGTAGTGTGGAAAGTCAACAGCTTCATTATGTTATTATTTTCTCGCGGCTTTACATGTGCTGTCCATTTTAGTTGTTACCGTTGTTGAAAGTCATCAAATGATATGGTTCCTCTTATTTGGTAAGTTTCTTTGTAATTCTGTAGCGCCAGTCCACAAGGATGGTTATCGCCAAGGGTAAAAGTAATAATTGAAAAGGAATACTTTTTGACAACGTTTTTTATCGGTTACTATGAATTGCATCAAGTTAAAAATTAACGTTTCTTTGTCGGTCTATGCCTAAAGAAAAAACATCAAAGTTATGAAAAATATAAAAGACATTCATACATATATAAAACATTGTAAATAAATGTAAATTAATATTAGATGTTTGAATCAGCGTAACGGAAGTTAGATAGGAGTCATTTTTTTTTTAGAAATTGTTTTCTATTTCTCTAATGTATAAACCTCGTGTAAAAGCAGGTGACGTAACATTTAATATATGTTCTAATTCTGTTGTATTGGACACCCCCCACCACATGATGACTAAAAAAAAAACATTGATGAAAGACATTGTCTCGCAACAATGGCATTCTAACGAACATGAGTTAAAGTATTTTTAAAATAGTTTTAAATTTGAAACATACAAAAATTTTTATATTTAGGCACCGCTTAAATGCCATTCTCTTGGGTGTTATGATTTTTATGTTGCTAATTTTACTTTGACGTTTTTAAGAAATTCATATTTGAATGCTAAAGTAAAATAGCTTTCAAATGTTAAATATCGTCTTGGGTAAGATGTGAAACTGTATCCCCGTCCTGGGTAAGACGTTAAACTACGTCCAGCAGCAAGGCCTCTGATCAGGAGGTTTTGAGGAGCATGAAACCACCTCTTAATGGAACCATCCTGATCCGGGGCGGTAGCACCTGTTAGGGTCCCAGTTATGGGCAAATAGTTAACTATTACCATCAATACTTTTTTGAAAAAAATTATAACCAGCAATACAATTTTGAAGGAAATATATTACCAAAAACAGATTTTTGACAAAAACAAAATAAAAATGTTTGTCAGCCGTAAAAAACAAAATAAACCAAAAATAAACAAAAGAATACATATTCTATTTGAATCTATCCTAAAAAAAGCATTAAATAACCCATTGAGGTTGATATGCCGTAAAACAAAATAAACCAAACCAATCTAAACTAAAGAATACATATTCTATTCATAGGAATCTATCCTAAAAATGTTGTCGGCATTAAATAACCCTTTGAGGTTGGTACGCCATTAAACAAAATAAACCCAACCAATCAAATGTTAAATAAAAGGCTACCGCCTAAAAAAAAAAAATTTTTAAAAAATATGTCATCTGTCACCATCTACAAATTGTCACGTAATAATACATAAAACCACCAAAGTATGTTACATCTACTGCTAGCAAAGATGTTTCACTGTGTGGTCTATGAAACAAAAAACAAAAAAAACATCCCGTCAGAATAAATCTTCTGCATATTATTTATCTACCACACACATTAAATACTGCTGCCATATTTAGTCTGATCCTTCTGCTTTATCTATCTCGAGATTCTTGACAAAATTCAAACATGGAGTCTGTAATGTAATCGATCCTGACCTGGCATCTTGACTTTTGCACTTTCTCACCGACGTGAAGTGGCTTATCTTTGTCTTTTCTACATATATTTTAATGACAGCTGTTTTAATTACTTTCCTTAGTGATACGACTACATGTATTTAAGCATTCTTCTAGATTTGTAACTAGCTCTCACTGTTTTACTGCGGAACTACCTAGATGCGACCACCACTTCTATTCTAACAAGTGTTTTTTCTTGCGCTCCTGTGGAACTTCCTTCCGATTTCTTGCTTCCCTGCCAACTACAATGTTTAAATATTTAAATGCAATGTCAGTCGCCATCCTCTATCTTTCTGAACACTGTTTCTTTTTTTTCCTTTCCTTAATTCTACTCACTAAAGTATTCTCATTCACTTTCCTTGTAACCGACTGCTTCCTAATGCTTTACGCTTTACTTGGTGAGAAGTGATTAAAAAAATGAAGCTCCATGACAAAGAAAATTCTCGTTTGATATTTGTCAGCCGTTTTCCTAAAAAATTATTTTAATATATATATCTCATGACAATAACAGTCAATAGCAATGGCTGCTCGGTTAATGACTGTCGAATGCTTCCATACAAGGAAACGGCTGATATTACTATTAGCACTAACATTTGGTCGATTTCCGTTTTGCATCCTTTAATTATCCATTAAGAACTGCTTCCTAAGACGTGAGTCAGTTATACTTACAATATTTTCAACCCAACTAAGTTGATGTGCGTTAAAATCTACAAGCTATTTCTTGCTACAGATAACCACTGATTAGAGGGCCTTTTCGTTAGCAGCTGTCAGTTTTACTTTGTCTGATCTGTTGCACTTACTACTAAGACAGGAGTAAATAGATATATCAGCTAGTTGGGAACTAATGGCGTTCGGAAGTTTGTTTGTAAAAAAAAAAAAGGAGCGTGTCCATTCAACATAACCTTCATGACAAGATTTGTCAAGAACGATTGGATTAGGCCAAATATTCATTCAGAGAGACCGTAGCAACTGATCTTGTGGTCAGCATGCCAAACTTTGTCGAACGCCTTTGAGATATATAAGGTCACAACCCGAGCTTCGCCTTTCTTATCTAATGCTTGATAGACAAATTCTGTGATGGCTGTTAGTACATCGACGGTAGACCAGTAGAAACGAAAGCCACGTTGTTGATCCGAAAAGAGGTCGTGTGAAGTAAGATGTTTTGCCAATTTGGCGTTGATTAGAGCATCTAATACTTTGCCAAAAAGATATGAGATTAATAGGGATATAATTCGATGTGTCAAATGGTTCCCCAGGATTCTTAAATATAGGAACTACAGAGAGGGACATCCAACAAGATGGAAAGCAAGAAGTAGCGAGACATTTATTATAATGTTTCACGAGAATAAGAACGATGGGGCAGATATACTCTAGATAAATCGAGAGTGGAATTGGAAGAGACTTTCCGGGCACAGTACATGAGAACATTCTAAATTGATTGAAGACAGGAGCGACTGAGGATTTGTTCTTGTTCAGTACACTCTTTTACACACACCAGTAGTCACTAGAACAAAACTTGTAAGAGGCTATATGGTCTTTAAATTCTTTCAGCGAATAGTGACATTGCTATACTTCGAGGGCACATTTACATTCATTATGAGCGGTGGCATTTCAGTTTCAGTTAATTACCTTTAGTAACTAAGTTTTTGTTCCCTCTGCTGTGGCCAGGTATTGAACTCACAACTGTTTGGGTCAAGCGACTTTTTGGATTACTTCAACCAACGCTATAAGGCATGATATGTGGAATTAAAGAAATCTATCCCCGTGGACTAAATAAAGGGTTCGGTTCGAAATTCTAACGTATATCACCTGAAGAAGGCCGAAGAGTACAACGGCCGAAACTGAAGATGGAAGCCAGAGTATGAACATTGGTATCATTACAGAAGGCTTGAATGATCTTTTTCCTCTTACCATTGCTCAGTCGGGAAGATATAGGGAGATTGACACGAAATGATTTTAACCCGTTCTCTTTCTCGCTGAATAACTCAAAAGTTTTTCAGTGAAGTTTATGGTACACACACACATATATATATATATAGTGATTTTCCAAGCGTAGCTTAGATGTCGCACAAGGCCGAAAGTATGGGGCACCCAGTGAGGATCGAACTCACTACTCAGTCGTAATTGTTTTAGCGAGACAAGCTTGCTAACCATTACACCACCTCGAAGGGCATATTATATATATATATATATATATATATATATATATATAAGAAATATGTTGTAGTGGTTCCAACGATAGAAAAGTATGTATATTAAAAAGAAGAGGGGGTGCCGCAAACGTTTTTGGTTGTAATGTGGATTTATTGAGAAAAAATATTATACTTTGTTTTACATAATTTCACGACACGTGTTTCTGGTCTGGTCTCGCAAACCGTCTTCAGGTGAAAGTGGAGATTTTTACATATTATTAAAAATAATTAATTTTTTCTTCATGTTCAATGTGGAATATTCTCGATATGAGACATTCTGTTTGTGTGTTGGCAATCCGAATTTTCTTTCTAGAATTGTCAATGAAGAGTTCTGCGTGAAGGGTCATAAAACAATTAAGGTTTGTCCAGCGAGTAGTTATCGGCATTTAATGTTTTAATGTTTTAGTGACCTCTATGTGCTCTTGGATCTGTTTCTATTTTGGCGTGTTCCTGTCAGCATGCGTGCATATATGCGTGCGTATATTTTCTTACTACGAGGAATATATATATATATATATATATATATATATATATATATATATATATTTTTAAACTAAAGCCCGTTTAGTGGATCTTTTAGCAAGTGTTGCGAATTCGACCATTACAATTTTCCCTCCTATGGTGGTGGCTTGTACTAGAACACGACAATATAACTATATACATCTGCTTGTTTGTAAGTGGTTAATGACACACATGCGACGGCAGATATGTCTTAAAATCTATTGCCACGCGCTTGCAAATGCGCGCATGCGCAGATATTCCCATTTATTTGCGGAAGAACGTAACTTTACCTGCAATCTAGCATTAGCCTGGTAAGCACGGGACGCGACTATGAAATGCAGGAAGTCTCAGTTAAACTTCAGGAGTTCATTCCACCTCAGAACCAAAAGGATATCTTTTTTTATTGCAGCGGGGAGATTTTCTTTCAGTACCCCCACATCCCAACTACATCCGCTCATCAATTACACTTCTTTTTTTTTTATCTCTCCTTCCTATTTCAAAGAACCTCCGTCGTTCCATTTCGTTTTTCCTTCTTAGCCTTTTCACGTCTTTGACTATTCTACACCAACCTCTGATTATTTCATTTTATTTTCTATCTCTTCCACTTGGCTAAACAATTAAAAAACAGCTATCCTACATCACCGGTTCCCCTACGATCACCAAACCTAAGCAACTATATATATATATATATATATATATATATATATATATATATATATATATATATATATATATGTGAAAAAAATGACAATAGAAAAACTAGTAATTGCTGACGCGTTTTGTCCAATGTGGACTTTATCAAAAAAAATACGAAATGAATTTAATTGAACAAGCTAATATTAGGTTGGTGCAAAAATAATGACGTACGAATGTCGTTTTTTGACGTTAAAAAATACGTCAAAAAACGACATTATTACGTCATTATTTTTGCCCCAACCTAATAAATAATCACTGATCGCACAAGCTCATCAAATCGTCGCATCGTACCCCCTCCCCACGATTTGATGAGCTTGAGTGAGCATTGTGCGACAATTTGCATATGCGTATATATCTCTTTTTCTGTCCATATCTATATGTTTTATCGTCCTTTTTCTTTATGTCGTTTATTGACGAATATTTGTTTTTCTGTTCTACCCATGATGAACTTTATTCAATCATTTTTATCGATATAGCTTTGCCCGTAAAAGTTATATTTTAATAGGATGTTAGAATTTGTTTAATAACACTTTCAAAATTGAATATTTCTTAGTGGGTGTATAGGCATGTCTTTGTCAATGTACGTGTGTGTATGTGCGTGGCTTTGTCGGTGTGTGTGTGTATGGTCGCTTGTGTGTGCCTTTCATTGTGTGTGTATGTTGTTTTTTTTTAAAGTTCGTGGACATATTTCCTGTTCCGTCGCTTTTTTGCGTGTTTACATATCTAAATATGTCTGCGTGTTGGTGTATTGTAATCTGATTGTGTATGTATTGTTTTTTGCAAGATTTCATCCTTCCTTGCCCATGTCCTCACTCCAAATGTATTTAAATTGTAACGGAGTTCAGAGCAGCATTAGATCTTAACGTTTATTCTAATTTCAATAAAAACAAAATAAATAGAAAAACATGTATTTTTTTGCCTCAATTTCTTTAAATAATTTTGTAATTTTAAACTTAATGTAGATAAAATTTAAAATTGATAATTATTAATTTTATAGTATAATTTAATATTTATTAGTTAGAATTAATTCTATTTTAGTCTAAGCCTAGCATTAAAGCATTAAATAATTATTATAACCAAAGTTCGCTGTCAGGTTTTTTGAATTCTCATATACTTGTGTTTTTGTCATTAACAGCGTTTCCCCTAGCAAGGGATGTTTGATTGATTTGAACATTTTAGAACCCTTTATTATATATTCAACACCATCATTTAATAAGACACCAGAAGTGTTGAAACAAAAGGGCTATTTTTGTAGTGATTTTATAACATATTTATGCTATAATTTTTGAAATAAATAATTATATATATATATATATATATATATATATTAATTATGCCATATTAAACTTATAGATAATTACATGAATGAAACTGAAAATGTTATATCAGTTATCTGTTGAGAAATCGGCTGTATTTAAAGGTCATTAAATACTTCGACAATCTACGACCATTCATTTGTATTTCCTGCTATTGATCCAATCAATAATAATGTCCCTTCCTGGTGTCAAAGTTCATTAGAAGTGAATCAACTATCAAGAACCTTATAATTATTTCGCGACCTTAGCGAAATGAGTTAACAGGAACGGATATATTCAAAATTATACAGCAGTTACATGACAAGCGGTATAATTTAAACTAAAGTATTGTGGTTTAGTGATTATTAATTAGTGCTTATCCAAGGATTGAATTCACGACCACAAGATGACCATAACAGATGCGAAGCTAATACTTATATCAGTCATTTGCAGTGTGTTTTATTAGGTTGGTGCAAAAATAATGACGTAATAATGTCGTTTTTTGACGTATTTTTTAAGGTCAAAAAACGACATTATTACGTCATTATTTTTGCACCAATCTAATAGTATTTCATGATTTAGATGAGTAATTGTCAATATAACCGATGTATCAACAAAATTGTACAAATCGTGTAACAGCATAATTATCCATTCCTTAAAATGTTCAATATCTAAAAAAAAAAAAAAAAAAACAACCAAATTAATTGAATTTCTTTTTACAGGTTTTCAGATAAGACATCTTGACACCATTTTCCGTAAGTTTGACTGAAAAATCCTTTAAGTTATTCAACTAAAAAGACAACAGGTTAAAATCATTTTGTGTAACCTTCAGTGTCTTTTCAACTGAGCAATGTTGAGAGGAAAAAGATCACTCAGACCTTCGGGAATGGTACCAACATTCATATTCTGGGTTCCATCTTCGAAGTCTATTCAAGAATCAGCAAGAGAACGGTGAATAAGTATAAAAAAGAGGGAACAGTAGAGAGGAAAACTGGATCAGGAGGTCACAACAGGAAGAAGAATCATCATTACAACTTTGACTTAAAGAGATCAATTAGAAAAGATCCAACTCAATCCATAAAACGTTTGTCACGTGAAAGAGGAGTTTTATCTATAACAGTCCAAAGAGCAGTGAGAAAAAGACTTGAAAATGAAATCGTACGTGAAACCTGTGAGGCACCTTGTTACTTCCGGACAGAAAGTTAGAATGTTAGAGACGGTGAAGATCATCTTGAATTAGTTGGAAAATGGTCCTTGAATTATATATATATATATATATATATATATATATAACGTCATCCACAGACAGACTGTTTCGCTGTTTCACAGCTCATCAGTGTGGCTAGACATCCGGTTGCCTCTAGCTAGGATCGAAACCCGACTGAATTGGTGTCAGTCGGAGATTCTAACCATTAAGCCGTCGGCGCACGGTAAAAGTGGATTTTTAGCGTATTTATTTTTAGAAACACGCCCAGTGACCGACAGTGACTCAATTCGCATCTGCGAAGAGTCTCGCTATATATTTGAACTTTGTTTCAGTCCTTCATGGCCTTCTGATCCTTAGCTATGATTAATTAATGGTAAACATGTCATCACGACTCCTCTCTTAAGCTTGGAGAGTAATTATACTTTCTTATTGCTCAAAGTACAGTCTAATGGTGTTAGAAGACCTCGGAGGATTCCAGTAAGATATCTTTAATCGTTTCTAAGATAAACCGGTTCAAAGCTTAATCTAACGAATGAACAATTTTGCTGTTACGCTTGGTACATGTATTATTTTGAACTGTTGTTCTCATGTTGGTTGGTACAGATGCTATTATCAGCATAACGTTCCGAACTGAATGGAAAGCCTTTCAACATATCCATCATAGTTGTGTATGCACCAACAGCACAAAGCGCAGAAGAAATTAAAAAGTTCCAGACAACGCCAAGGTCTTTTGCAAATCGCAGAAATTATAATTGTCATGTGAGACCTGAATGCCAAAGTAGGCAATGAGTGGGGGTGGTGAAATAGTTGGCAAATTAGGACGAGGAACCAATAATGAACGGTTACGAAAAAAAAAACGCAAACGGTTACGCCGCCATGATGTAACTTTACAAATAATCAGAGAGTAAATTATTGCGCATGACTAAACAGACACATTATAGAACAGTCGAATAGATTGTTCAACTGTCCAATTCTTTGCCTCGGCAGAGAGGAATTCGGACGACGCTTTGCCACAGGGCAAAGTTTCGCTCGGGAAGGTAGACAGTCCCTGCACCCGTTTATACGGGTTGAAATGGAAAATTTTACGGGCTCGGAGAAACTCATGTTAAACTCGGACTTGTGCCACATATATTTAACAGTCCCCCACAAGGAATGTAACAGACACATTATAGTGGGGTTTTAGTCGTTATTAGTATCGTATACACAGGTGACACAAGCGGGGAGATAAATGAAAGAGGTGTAGGAGTGATACTAGATCAAGACATAAAAAAATGCGTTCTCGGATACTGTCAACTATCGGAAATAATTCTTGTTAAATTAAATGGAAAGCCTTTCAACATATTCATCATAGTTGAGTATGCACCGACAGCACAAAATACTGAAGAAATTAAAAAGTTCTATTCTACGATAGACAAGGTCTTTTGCAAATCGCAGAAATTATAAATGCCATGGGAGACCTGAATGCCAGAGTAGGCAAGAGGGAGGGTGAAATAGTTGCCAAATTCAGAGTTGTTCTTTCATATGCCATATCTCTTCAGGACGTAGGTAATTATGTAACTTCCTGTCCCTTGTAGTTCTTAAAAGTTTTTGTCTTTTTTTCTTCTTTCTCTCAAACACTATCTTACCATCCATTTACTCAAGTCCCTCAAGTATTTTATATGTGAGTATCAGATTTTCCAATCCCTGTTTTCTCATTACGTGCTCCAGAAATTTCGATTTCCCGTTCCTGATATTAAGTATAAGTTTCTTTTTTGTTTCCATTTTCTCTAAAATCTCGTCGTTGCTCACATGTTCGATGCATGGTATCCTCAGCATCTTTCTGTAGAACCACATTTCGGTTTCTTCAAGTGTCTTCTGCATGTTTGAGAAGATTGTCCAGCATTCACTGCCATACAGGAGAGAAGATATCACGTCAGGAATCCGTAACGAACGCGGACAAAAATTGGGTCCAATGCTGCAAGGCGAATGACCAGTTTGTAGCCAACACCTAGTTTCAAGACCACCCAAGACGTATATAGACATGGAGACGCCCAGGAGGAAAAACCAAAAAACAAATTGGCTACATAACTATCTAGAAAAGATTCAGGTTGCAGTTTTACACTGCAAACCATATAGGAGGCTATCACCTTCCAATGATATGCGAAACTATGGAAATTGAAGCGGCCCCAGGCAACACTCAAATCGCAATACGGCAAACTCTTGAACGACCCAAATTCAAAAGAGAAAGATATGAAAGGTGTGAAAAGCAGATACAAGGGACAGCATACGCATGGAAAATTGAATTGTGATACGTCGGGAGAAGCTTATCGAGATTATCCAAAACGAATATAGACGAAGAAAAAAACTGA